GATGAACACAGCAGGCCAAGCAGCATCAGAGGAGCAGGAATGCTGAAGTTTCGGGCCTAGATTTTCTGAAGAAAGATCCAGACCCGAAACGTCAGCTTTCCTGCTCCTCTGATGCTGCTTGGCCTGCTGTGTTCATCCGGCTCTACACCTTGTTATCGCAGATTCTCCAGCATCGACAGTTCCTGCTACCTCTTTAGTGGAGTGATGTGCTTTTCCTGTTGGATGTGGGAGATTAGGGAGAGTTTCCGTGTTACTGATGATTATATCTGCAGGAAGTGAGTTCGGTTGCAAATCTGATCGGATTGCATGAATCGGTGAGAGCGGCAGTTAGAGGCAATGAGGAATTTACAGGAGCAAGGAGGTGTGATGGATGGCAGTTACAGGAAAGGAGATAAACCAAAGATACAGTCAGGTAGATGGGTGACCTCCAGGAAAGGTAGGAGAGGGAGGCAGGTAGTGCAGGAGTTTCCTCTGGCTATCCCCATCTCAAACAAGTCCACTGTTTTGGAAAATGTAGGGGGTAATGGACTCTCAGGGGAATGTAGCACTGACAGCCAGGTTTCTGATACCGAGACTGGCTCTCATGTAACGAGGGGTACGCCAGGTGACAAGCGATTGATTGTGATAGGGGACTCTGTAGTCAGAGGCAAAAACAGATGTTTCTGCGGCCAACAGCAAGGAATCAGAATGGTGTGTTCCCTCCCTGGTGCCAGGATCAAGGATATCTCGAAAAGGGTGCAGAATATTATCAAAGGGGAGAGGGACCAACAGGAGGTTGTTGTACACATTGGAACTAACGACATAGGAAGAGAAAAGGATGAAATTCTGTGGAGAGAATATAGGAAATTAAGCAGGAATTTAAAAAGAAGGTCCTTGAGGGTAGTAATATCTGGATTACTCCCAGTGCCACGAGCTAGTGAGCGTAGGAATAGGAGGGTAGAGCAGATGAATGTGTGGCTGAAGAGCTGGTGCAGGGGAGAAGGATTCACATTTTTGGATCAATGGAATCTTTTCTGCGATAGAAGTGACAGTATAAGAAGGATAGATTGCACCTGAATTGGAAGGGGACTAATACACACGTGGGGAGATTTGCTGGACCTGCTTGGGAGGTTTCAAACTAGTAAGTGGGGGGGGTGGGCAGAGAGAGACAGTGAGGAAAGCGATCAATCTGAGACTGATACAGTTGGGAAAAAGAGCAAGTCAAACAGTCAGGGCAAGCAGGAACAAAGCAGAGAACGAGGGAGGATTGATAAATTAAACTTCTTTCAATGCAAGAGGCCTAACAGGTAAGACAGATAAAGTCAGGGTGTGGTTGGGAACAAGGGACTGGGATGTCATAGCAATTACAGAGACATGGCTCAGGGATGGACAGGGCTGGCAGCTCCAGGATATAAATGATAAAGAAGGGGGGGTGCGCAAGAGAGGAGAGGAGTGGCGTTTTTGGTTAGGGACAACATTATGGCTGTACTAAGAGAGGATACTCTTGGGAATACATCCAGGGAAGTTATTTGGGAGGAACTGAGAAATAAGAAAAGGATGATCACCTCATTGGGATTGTAGATCTGCAGTAGTCAGCAGGAAATTGAGAAACAAATTTGTAATGAGATCTCAATTATCTGTGAGAATAATAAGGTGGTTATGGTCGGGGTTTTAACTCTCCAAACGTAGACTGTGTCAGACATAGTGTTAAGGGCTTGGATGAAGAGGAATTTGTTAAGAGTGTACAAGAAAATTTTCTGATTCAGTATGTGGATGTACCTCACAGAGTAGGTGCAAAACTTGACCTACTCTTGGGAAATAAGGCAGGGCAGGTGAATGACGTGTCAGTGGGGGAGCACCTTGGGGCCAGTGACCATTATCCTATTAGCTTTAAACTCATGATGGAAAAGGTTAGACCGTACCTAAAAGTTAAAGTTCTAAATTGGAGCAAGACCAATTTTGACGGTATTAGGCAAAACAATTTCGAAAGTTGTTTGGGGGCAGATGTTTGCAAGTAAAGGGACGGCTGGAAAATGGGAAACTTTCAAAAATGAGATAATGAGAGTCGAGACTGCACCTCCTCTCACCCACCTTCCTGCAAGAATGCGATCCCCTACTCCCAATTCCTCCACCTCCGCTGTGTCTGCTCCCAAGATGGGGCATTCCACTCCCAAACATTCCAGATGTCCTCTTATTTTAAGGATCACAACTTCACCCCTTTGGTGGTCGAAAATGCTCTCGACTGCATTTCTTGTGTTTCCTGCACCTCTACCCTCACATCCACTCCCCACCATAAAAATAAAGACAGAATCCCCCTTGACCTCACATATCACCCCACTAACCTCTATATTCAACGTATCATTCTCCGCCACCTGCAATCCAACCCCACAACCAAAGATATATTTCCCTCCCCACCTCTATCTGCCTTCCGTAGGGACCGCGACTCCTTCATCCGCTCCACACTCCCCACGAGCCCCAACACCCCACACCTGGCACTTTTCCCTGCAACCGCAGGAACTGCTACACCTGCCCTTACACCTCCCCCCTCACCCCCTCCCAGGCACCAAAAAAACCTTCCACATCAGACAGAGGTTCACCTGCACATCTGCTAATGTGGTCTATTGCATCCGCTGTTCCCGATGTGCCCTCCTCTACATCGGTGAGACCAAGCGGAGGCTCGGAGACCGCTTTGTACAGCACCTGCGCTCTGTTCATGACAAACGATAACACCTTCCAGTCGTGAACCATTTCAACTCCCTCTCCCACTCACTGGGTGACATGTCCATCCTGGGCCTCCTCCAGTATCACAACAACGCCACCCGCAAACTGGAGGAGCAGCACCTCATATTCCACCTTGGGAGCCTACAACCCAATGGTCTCAATGTGGACTTTACCAGTTTCAAAATCTCCCCATCCCCGGCCTCATCCCATGCCCAACCCTCCCTCTCATCCCCACCTCCTTGACCTGACACAACCTGTCCGTCTTCTCTCCCATCTATCCGCTCCTCCTACCTTACTGACCAATCCCCGCCACTGCCGACCTGCACTCACCTATCACCATCCCACCTACCTTCCCCAGCCCGACTCCCCCCCATTTATTTCAGAGCCGCCTTGCCCTCCCCCATTTCTGAAGAAAGGTCTCAACCTGAAATGTTAGCTTTCCTGCTCCTCTGATGCTGCCTGGGCTGCTGTGTTCCTCCAGCTCCACACTGTGTTGTCTCTGAGTCCTGCATCGGCAGTTCTTACTGCCTCTAGAGACAGTATGTTCCTGTTAGGGTGAAGGGCGAGGCTGGTAGGTGTAGGGGATATTTGTATCCTGGATAGCCACAAGTGAGGTGCCAGTAGACTGGAGGTTGGCTAACGTGATGCCACTATTTAAGAAAGGTGGTAAGGAAGAGCCAGGGAACTGTAGACCGGTGAGTCTGACATCAGTGGTGGGTAAGTTGTTGGAGGGAATCCTGAGGGACAGGATTTACATGTATTTGGAAAGGCAAGGACTGTCTAGGGATAGTCAATGTGGCTTTGTGCATGGGAAATCGTGTATCACTGACTTGGTTGAGTTTTTTCAATAAGTGGAA